CAAATAGCTTTAGAGAAACTGAGGTTGCTTCTCTGTTGCTTTGCATTGGATGAAATCCTTATGCCAGGCCTCTTGGACTGAGGTCTGATGGATCACCGTTAGGTGCTGGCTCTATACTGGGCAGAGAGGGGGCTTGTTGCCTTATGTGAGCAACAAGGCAGGGTACAATTTTGTCCAGTGTCAACCGTAAGGTTTGATAAATAACAATTTGAACAGGCTGGAAAAGTGTACCTCACCACTCCTTCACTGATACTTGTTTCAGTTCTTTGTCCTAAAATGTGAAATACTGGACCTCAACCGGTTCAAAGAGCGCGTTCTTGCTATTTGATCTTTGCAGTGAAATACTGTTGAAAGAGCAGGTAGGCTTTCTAGGCTGGTCAGAAGGGACAGCAGAGAAAGTGGCTAGTGCATTTAATTCCGTAGTCAAGAAATCTCTGTGGAAAAGTCTATGAAGAGATAAGGTATTCAGTCACATTAAACTGAAGTGAAGGATGTTCACAAAGGCTAATGGAGTACTAATTCTTGGTTTTCAGTATCAAGTTGTGCTGGTCTTTGTTCTTGTATCTGTAAAACTCAGACTTTGGTCAGAGACTTTTAACTTAAATTTTAAGAACATAAAACTCTATGTGCTTTTTCTTTTTTTCTTTTTTTCTTTTTCCTTTTTTTTTTTTCTTCCCTGCAAACTGCAGGAAAAGAAAAATGAAAGGGCTTAGTGAAAGTGGTGGTTCTTTTGAGGTACATCCAGCAATATTAAACACTTCCATCATCATTTTAATATAATGCAAATTTTTGCACAGAGGAGATCAAGGTCTTTTCATAGCACATAAATTTCTGGACAAAAGGATGACTGGAATCCAAAAGGATGACTGGAAACCAAAGCAAAAGAAAGAATTTAAGCAGTATTAGATGTAAGTGTACTAAAGGTAGAGCTATGTCGAGCAGCTTCAAGAAAATGATGATACAAAGCCTGAGGTAGCCAAGTGGAGGAGACAGGAAGGAAGTCAGTGATAAAGTTTTGGAGCTTGTATGTTAGAAGTGAAACCGGTGTCTCTGAGGTCAAAGAGCTGTAAAGGGCAGAAAGGGAATGACCAAGAACAGCTTAACACAGGGAGCTGAAGGTCAGCAAAGATGCAGAGTTGGCCAGGCATTGCAATGTAGTAGTGTGATAGAGAGTTAATTAGAAATGTAAATACACTGTAATGTTTAGGGTCTTATGCTGACATTTAATACCAGCCTAAAATTTTTAATAGTAAATTCTCTGTCCTGTTTCCATATGGACATGATCTTGGTGTTGTAACACAGCATTCCTAGCACCAAAATGTGAGGATCCGTTTTCAAATTTAAGCTCAAAACAGAAATACTGGAAGTGTTATCCTACATGCTCAGAACTATCGAGTGCACCGTGCTTGTTAGCTAAACAGCCAAATAGAAGTCCTGTGGGTGTGTAAATGCCTGTATGAAAAGTATCTGCTCAATATGTTCCTCAGAGCTGATGCTCGAGGGAGTAAGGCCTGTGTCTGGGAACCGGATAGTACAACTTTCTATCCCTGACCCAGCACGTGCCCTTTTTAACAAACAGACAAAAATATGCCTCAAAGAAATGTGGTTTGTAATCTGTTTTTAGCCCTAGAAGCAAATAAACAAAAACAGCACTTAATACATTTGTACTTTTAGCAGCACTGGCTGTGGGCTCAGTAGGACGAGTGCTGCATTTGTTCTTTGCAGCCTTCAGAAGCCACCGTTCCTCCAGCAGCCACAGCATGGGAGCTTCACTCAACATTTAAACACAGCCAATCAACCTGGGCTAACCATCTTTTTGAAATGATGGTACCTAAAGACATTCACCCTACTTGCTGAGACAGAGTTGCATGGTGAGCAAGAGGGCTCTTGCAGGAAAGGGAGTTTGTTTGCAGCTGTGCTGGACAGTCTTAACTGCATGACATGCCCATGGTGTTCATTGTCCTTTTTTCCTAAAGAAGTCTTTAGATTTGAAAGGCAAAAATTATGTCGTGTGAAAAGGTGGAAGCTTTTAAGTGCATTCAGATTGGAATGGGGCAGGATAAGAAATAAATGCAGTCTAATGGCAGTCATCTCCATACATGTCCCTCTGTGGGTCATGGAGAAGAGAGGGAATCTCCTCCAAAAAGCAGTTCAGAAAAGCCAGATTCCTCATCCAGAAGGTGACCCATGGCAAGACCCTCTCTCTTGAGCCAGTAGAAAGAAAAGAAGCAAGGTGGGCAAGATGACCTCCAGAGGTCCCTTCCAACCTTAACCATTCTGTGAAGGTCAACCTTGTTAGACTGTGAAGTTAGCTTTTGTGAATGTCCCCTCATCCCACACTTGCTCCTGCTTCATGCTCCTGGTTGCTATCAGCTTTAAAGAAAAGTTCACTATGTCATCTAAGTACTTTTGACTTTCAGTCAGCCTGCAAGAGCTTGCAGCTCTCAGGGTCTCTGATAGCAAAGTGTATTTTAGTTCCTGTAGTTCAAGCATTTGTTTTCGTCCAGCCACCTGGCCAAACCCATGCTAGGAAAGACGAACTCCTTGCAGCGTGTTCCGTGTAAGACACTGAAAAAGAGCTGTTGTGCTACGAGCAGGAGGTAAAAGGAAAAAACAAAACTAAACAAAACCAGGAAGCCTTGTGGCAGATGGTACAACCGGCGTCCATCTAAACCTAGCCAAAGCAGTGTGTCGTCTGGGAGCGAAGAAACCTGGAAAATCTGATGACTCAGTTTGAATAAGTAGGGAGACAGCGAGTAAGATTTCTGGCTTGTGTCCCAAACCTATTATGAAAAAGGCTATGTTATATAGCGCAGAAATCTGAGTACAGTTTGGTGGCATCCTTCTCAAGCACAGATAGTTACCAACCGTAGACTAAAATGCCCAGGGTACACATGAGAACTGACACATACAGAATCTGATTGCTCTCTGCCAGTTCCTCGGCTGTGGCTGAACCTGGTTTTCCAATAAATAGAGTTTTGGTATTATTAGCAGGGTACGTGCTCTTATTGTTGGGAGTATCACTGGCTGGACACAACCATCAGAACTCACAGCACCCTATTCCTTTTCCAGACACAGCCGAATTCTCATTTCCAGGCACTTCAGTTGCAAGTGCAAAGATGAGCTGTGAACCAACTGTTCAAGAAATGCCTAAAACACCTCTCAGTAATGCTTGCAAAGGGTTTCTAAAGGAGAGAGATAACACAGACATAGAAAGAGAACTCAGCAGGGTGAAATCTTGTTTTCTTGCTTACTACCTCCACTTCCTTCCTTCTCAACTGCTGTTGAGAATATGATCTTTCACACCCCTAGCACTTCCTTTTACTTCTGTATTTCCGTTTCCTTTATGTGTTTAAGTTGCACCAGGTCTGTTTTTTCCTGTGTTAGTAAGACATGGAAAGTAATCTGCCCTTTCCCTTTGTCCTGAAGGCAAGATGCTTGTCTCTCTCATGGGCTTACAACTTTAACTTAGGCCTCACCTCCCATGCTGTCCTTGGGTTTCAGTCTAAGCCCGTTTCTCCTTGTAGGTCATATCATCCAACTGTGGTCTAAATATCACACCCTGCTCTTCTCTGTCTCCATCTTCCCTTCTTTATTAAAAAAGAGAAGTCCTGACCCAGAATGTCCTCTTCACCTTGATACTGTTTGATCTTTACCTCGTGTTCCTGGTGGAAGATCCTTGCACCATCTCTTCCCGTCTGCCCCCTATCCTTGTTCCAGCCCCTTCCATTTTACATACCCTCCCCAACCTCTCTTCCTATTTTGGATGCTCAGCCTCCCAGGGTGGAAAACACTCCTTCAAGTCACTTCTAATGAAATGCACAAATATTGAAGCTAACAGCACACACCGTGGTTTTGCATCTCATGGTTTTCCTGAGCATCCTTGTGAGTGGGCAGGTTCCTCAGACAGCTTTTCCTCAGGACCTCACATAGTGTTGAGCAATTTGTATTGTCAGGAGCTCTAGGAGGAGATGAATGTACATAGTCCTAAAGAATGTGTTACCACAGCAACTAAATATGGGGAATGCAAACAAGAAATTAAGTCCCATCGAATATTAACGAAGTAAACACGCTTCAGTACTGGGCAGCCTCAGGGCACATGAAGAGGAAAATGAAAGTCCTGCTGAGCTTTATTTCTTCCCTCCCCAGGGAGCCAGTGTTAGGCAAGTCTCAAAGTCAGCCTCGTCTGGCATGGAGATGAGATGGCTTTGAAGATGAGGTGGTGGATTATGCTGTGTGTTCGGGTCGCTCTCCCCTGGGGACTGCCATTTGATGATCTTTTAGTGCATGTGTTGGCATTTGCCATGAACTGCTTAAGTGGGCATCATGTGCACTACAAAAATGAGCTGATAACTATCAGTATGTAAGAATCAGGTTGGGGCATTCAGCACTCACTACATAGATTGATGGGGATATTTTATTGAGGACAGTTGTCATGTTCATATTCAAGCTGAACAGTCAAGATTAACACTTTCTTAATCACTTTTTGGCATATACAGTAATGTTAAATGATATCAGATGGTATTTTATCCTTCCCTAGAGGGACAGACACTGTTTCTCTTCCATTCTTAAATGTTTGATCGTGGGAGGTGCTGAGAGCTGCCATTGATAAGAGCATGTTCAAGCTCTCGCAAGAAGAGTGCCAAATCATACAATACCCCATCTGTAATGCCAGGCATTCTTGCTGGTAATATATCAGCTGAGCTCTCAGTTCTGTAGTAATTAGTTGTACATCTGTGAGCAACTGTCCCTCTGATTTATTATCTGAGCAGCTACTGAAATACAGAACATTGCCCCATTTAGCCTTGGGATTGGAAGTTATGGTGTGCTAAAATTGTGTTTAAAATGTAATAAAATTGACTATATTATAAACAAATTATAAGTTTATGGAACACTATAGATGATCTTAAATCAATATTTTAAAGTTCATAAATTTAAGGTGATTGAGCATAGCATAATGCATATGGATATAGTTTTAATCACTGCCTTCTTTTATTTAGTGAGAAGATTAAACGCTGTCCTGGAAAATAACTTGATTGTAGTAAAGAAGAAGTAGTGGAAAAGTGAATGTAAGTATTTCACAGCATGTAAATGTCACTTATTTATGTTTGCAAACCAATAATATTGGTGCTTTTATAGATCATGCCAAATTGGCAATCTTATTTACCTAAAATATGACTAAACATCGTACTTTTGATATAATGAGAATGCTGGATCTGAATATTGTGCATGTGTGTATGAGGTATAAAACATCTAATAAGTATTTTTTAATATGGGTCTGTAGTCAGTGCATACCTAAACATCATTAATGTGGCCACATACAAAATTATTTGCATGCTTATGATCTGCTTGTAGGAAAAATGTCAACATGAAGTTGTCACTAAGTGCCCTTAAAAGGAAAAAAAAAAAAACAAAACAACAAAAAAAAAACATAACCCTCTGTATACATACCCAGGGGGATCCTTAAGTTCTGTAACACAGACATATTTTCCATTTCCAAAAGAATTTAGTCTAACTTGGAATAAAGCAGCCACTGTACGGTATTTTTCTGTGTACTTGCCCCAAAGATGTGAGCTGATAGCAGAAGAAGATTGCACAGTGGATTGGCAATTCAATTTAGAATGAAATACAGCGGCTGCAAGTTCCAGGCTAAGTGCATCATTGCTCACTTGAGGTCACTTTTTCAAACCTGAAGTCAATAGTTCTCTAACAATAAGAGCTTTGGTTCATTTTCTAGACCCTTTTGAAACTGTTACTTTGCTGGTGAATACCCCATTATTTTTCTTAAAGTAATTGCTTTCCCTGGCTGTATTTCATAATAATGTGAACTCCATAACTGTGTGTGTGCATATGTACGTACATATTTGTGTGTGAAGCAGAGGCCTATCTTTGCAAGTCATATCCCAGGAGGCTCTGAGTGGCTCTGGTGTGCAGCGTAGTGATAGTCATAAACTTTAAGCTGCCAGAGATTTGTTCATTTTTTTCATAATACATTTTTTCCCACGGTCTCACCTTCCATTTCCCAGAGCTTGCCTGATGAGTTTGGAAGCAGTCAGCTAAGTCTTTCCAAATGCTGGATTACATACAGAAGTCATGACTTAGATGTCAAGTAGGATGGTGATCCTCTCTTAAAAGTCACGAGCTGGGGCACTTCTAATATTAGGCTATGGCTGTTGGTAAACTTGTCTTCTAAAATTACTAACTGAACAAAATAGTACCAAAACAGTGAGCTACTACAGGAAAATAGTGAAATCTGTCTGTTTTATAGAGTTGTCTGCTGATATCGGACTTTCCGAAATGAGGGTCCCAAGATTTGACAACATCTTAGCTTAGTGCCTAAGCTAGAGATTTACAGACTAGACTGTGCATTTACTCTCTACATTACTGGTAACTGGCCTAGCTTGAAAGCTGTATAAGATATAAAACTAAACCCTTAAGACCTTCCAGTGTGTATTGAAAAAATCAAAACACACAATCAAAAATACCTTAATTTAGCTTCAGGGTCCTAGAAGCACATCTCTAGAGTGACCTTGTTATAGCCAGTGGTACTACTTGATCGGTTCCATGTGTGTGTGATGAGTTTGTCTGTGTAAAAATGTTCTTAGAGTTACTCTCATATTATTTTTACCAACTCAATCTTTGACTGTTTCTCCAGGGAAACTTCATTTATCGTCAGTTCCCTCAGAATTATGAAATAAGAAGAATATTGACTTCCTTTATTTGTGTCCTGTTTGTTTTTTGTTTGTTTTTTTTTTTAATGCTTGTTTAACAGGAGACAGCCATTTCACTATCAGTTGAATTCTAAAACTAACAGCCATGTTAAAATGCCATTTCATATATGTGTGTATATGAAAACAAATAAAATATGTGAAGTGGAGCTGTACTTTAGGAAGTTCAGTGGGGATAGACTATTGATAATGTGATTACTGTCTGGCCATGAAACTGTCAGAGAAATGAACACATCTGTGTGGTGGGTTGGATACTAGCACTTTGTCCTTGATGTGAAAATGGATAGTCTCTGGTAGATCTTATTTTTCTGATATTTTAATTTTGTGGTTGTGTAGACTGGGTTCCTAAATGAAAACCATCTTTTTGATCTGGCTTTTGCAACTATCAGACATGAAAAGTAAGGATACATCCTTCTAAATATATCTACCGAATAATTTCCAAACATCACTTGGCCTCACGTTGGCTGGGATTTAGGGAGTGACATGAAATTAACAAGTATAGGCAGAGAGGAGAAAATACCTTTTCATATCTGCTTTTGGTCTGGTATCTCAGACATGACTATGGAGACATCCTCATATAAACAGTCACAGAGCCAGCAAGAGGGAATAAAATCACTTCCCAGGCACTGAGAAGAGCAGTGGCTCAACCTGCAGTCACTCACAACCTGAGGCAGAGTCCTCAAACCAGGAGATCCAGCATCTCCTCTTATGGTCATCCTCTTTGATAGCATCTCCTCTTATGGTCATCCTCTTTGATACACAGTGCATTGCGATACTAAATAAAATGATTATTTTCAGTCAGAATTGGAGATGAAATCTTAAACTTGGGTTTGAAGTACATTAGTTTAGCTTAGGTTTAGTAGGATATCTGGCAGGATTTGGACTTCTGCTGCCTGTAAAGCCAGAAAGTGGAAAAAACTTTCAGAAAACTTCTCTCCCCTATTCTTTTCCAACAACTTTCCAGACTGTTTTAATAGAGCTGAAAGCCAAAGCTGGGATAGTGGAGGAATCTGAGAAATGTTGGTTTTCTGTGTTTCCTCACCTGGGGAAGAGGAGAGTTTAGATGGGGAGAGTGATTTCTCTGTTTGTTTTTCTTCTTTTTTTAAGTGGTAGGGCAAGGCTGGGAAAAATGTAAGATGGTCTGGAGGAGATGATAAGCTGATAACTGTTCTGCATTATGCTGATGATACATCCTAATAACCTTGAGGCAGTGAATGCAAGTAGAAGGAAGGGGGGTGCAAGTTAGGGAGCCAGGAGCAGGCACCATCAAGTAGAACACAGTGCAAAGGGAAGTGGGGGAAGAACACCCAGCCCTAATTAGATGCCAAAATTAGGTTCTTGCTGTTCATCTTGTAATCTGAGATTCCCAGAATAAGTCTTTAACATAGCATGGGGAGTTTTGTTTCCTGTTCTTAACATTAGTTATGTAAAATGTGTGCACCAGCACCATAAATAGCCTGGTTCAAACACTTTTGAAGGGTGAGGACCATGTCACACCACGTGCTCTCACTAAGCTCTGCTTGCTGGCAGGCAGATTCCTTCTGAAAAGTCTATGGAGATGCTTTTTAGGCATACTTGTATAGAAAGTAGTTGCTAAAAAGCAATGACCACCTCCAAAATGTCCACCTTAGTTTCAGGATCCAGCTGGGTATTGTAAAACTAATTGTTGTTTATAAGGACTTGGTTCTTATATCATGAACACTATAAATAATTACAGGCAGCCTTTGGATAGCATGGTAAATAAGGCACAGAGTCATACTGGATAATAAGGAGAAAAATAAATATTGAAGAGCTGCTGGTTCATTAAGTAATGTCTGTGTTATGCATGAAATGAGGCAGGGAAACAGTACAAAAAGTCTGATCATAGGGACCATCAGAAACAATTCACATAAGGAACTTCATTTCTAGTATTTTCTTGCTTTTAGAATTTAGCTTTTCAATGTTACAGAAATAATAAGACACTGTTATCAGTATCTTCCTAAGTTCTTCTACTTTCCTAAGTTCCTTTGAATAGCAAACTTTGAGTGGCAGTCAGGTTGAGCCCTCAGAGTCACCTGTGAGACCTGTCTTTAGATCTATAGGACTGAAGCTGCTGAAGCGTCGTGTAACATTTGTTCAGTATCTTCCACGCATCGTGAGCACCAGGTGAGGATGAGATGTGCACGTTGCAAAACACTCTGGCAGAATTTTTTCTGTTTTCACCCCAAAACCCAAGTCTCTAATTGGAGTTTGGGGGAAGTAGGCAGGAGTTACATCTATCTGCACGCTTGTGCTTTCTGAGATCTCTTTCAGTACCTGTTGCCTGTCGTTTTTTCTTTCCCTCTGTCATCTTTGTGTTGCCTGGGTGACAAAAAAATGCAGAGGATGAAGGAAAGAGGATCTCCCTGTGCTGCCACCGTGAGTAGCCTGTGACACCAGGTCAGGCTGTAACTACCAGAGGCAGCAATCACAGGGAAGCCCTGTGTAATGATCTCTCTGGGGTGTGCAGAGAGGCCTATTTGGAGACTTCTACTTTCCCATATGCTATCAAGCACAATCTTTGAGTTCCCTCTAATACCAGGTTCATATTCACTGGGCTATGTAAAGGGTGAATATCACACCTTTGCTCCTAGATCTTTGCAACGAGTGCGCCACAGTGGGAGTGCCCTTATTATCGAGCACAGAGAGAATGGGAGAGAGCCAACTCCTGCGGCAGGGCTCTGCTCACTCTGTCTCTGGCAGCAGCATGCACGGGTGGCACATGCATCAGAAGCATCACAAAGCTTTGGACATGTTTCAAGTCACTGACTATGGAGGAAATTGTACTGCAGTTTTGCCTATATGTTGGCACCTTTCTCTCATGGAGAAATGAGGCCATACTTCACCAGGAGCTGCAGCACTTGAATATCTTCAGCTTCTCATATGAGTGTTTGTGAATTGCCTTGTGAGAAATATTCGTAGGTGAGGTATAAACAGGTGTTTGTTATGGGCAGTTTCCCTTCTCCCTGTGTTCAGTAACATTGAAGCTAAGTCTACAGGTCTGGCTACAAGGCCCACAGGAGAGCAGATTCTTGCAACAAAGTGCAGACAACTGTTCATGTCAGTCTGTCTGTCTCATGCTTCTCCAAAATAATCTCCTGGGAAATATGTAGAAAAACAAACAGTAGATTCTTTACTGTTTTGGGAGAGGGATGGAAACAAATTTAAGTACAAAACACTAGCTTTTGTAAGTGCAAAACAACCCTTTCTTAATTAATATTTGGCGGAGTACTTTACAGATCAAAGTGTCAATATTAGCTAATTCCCATGACACACCTGTCAGGTGAGTAAAAATTATCTCCATTTATAGCCTAAGAAGCTGA